TTTTAGCTGTTGGATTAATTCACCCATCCCTTGAAGAAATTAATTCGTCAGGGCGTAGTCCCAACGCTCTGGAGGGATTAGATGGGAAGATCACAAGTTTGACTCTAAGGCTGGACAATTTAGTGATTTAGAAAGGGGCTGGGAAAGCTCAGGGTGAATCCCCTGCTGCACCACCACTACCACCACCAAACAAAAAAAATCGTTCTTTAAATATTCACTTATGTAAACCTCTTTTCCCATTCCATGTCCTGGGGGTTAAAATAATTTCCTTCTGTTAAACAGGGCGAGACACAGTAAATAAATGTGTGCCAAGCCGTATTATGGAGAAAAATAAAGCTGGGAAAGGAACATAAAAAGATAGTGTGGCCAGGGCTGGGGCGATAACTCGAGGGTCTAAGCTCCGGCCTGGCAAGTGCCAAGGACTGGGGTTTGATCCCCGATCCTGGGTGCACCTTGCCAGTCCCCAAACCTGGTTTGGTGGCACACGCCAGTAATCCCAGCTCTGGGGAGGCTGAGACAGGAAGATCACTGTGAGTCCAAACTGGGTAGCCAGACCCCATATGAAAAACATAACACAAAAGATAGTGTGGTGTGCATTCCGGATAAGGCAAACAAAAATCCCTCCTGGGAGTCTGAAATGTAGTTCTTAGAGCCTCTGTTCCCACTGCTGAAAAAGCGAAGGAGAATCAAAAGTTATAGGTAAATTTGAGGACTGTTTAAAAAAAAAAAAAGATACAAACAACAGCAATCCTTCATGGAGCTTAAGGTCTTGTAGGGGAGACAGAAAAAAAAGAGGTGAATTAGTAACATTTGGCAGACACTGATGGTGATAAATGCTAAGTGAAGTAAAAGCAGGGATTCGGCTTAGGGAATGAAGGGTTTCTATTTGAGGCAGTCTGGTTGGGAAGGTGGAAAATGCCACCTATGGCATTTTGATTGCAAACCTAATGGAGGTGAGGGAGAGGCCCAGGGAACAGATTCAAGGTCCTGCAAGGAGACAGTGGGACCCTTTCAAGACCAGTGTGGCTAGTGGGGAGAGAGCAAGAGGAAAAGGAGGAGGTGACATCAAAGAGGAAAGCGGTCTGGGGTGGAGGTCTTGTGGACCCTGACTAGAGCAACAAAGCAAGTTGAAAGGATATTATACACGGATCCAGGTTGGCTGAAATGAAAATAAACCATGAAACCTCCCACTCCCCAAAATCTAGTAACAACAGTTGTCCCTAGTGCAACAGAGATAGCTATTCCCTGCTCTATAGGTGGCTTACGTCACCTGTGTGGCATCTTTACTGAAAAGACAGTTACTGAGTTCTCTTGTGCCTCTTGCTAGAAGAGAGTATGGATAGCAAAAGAGCAAAAACTCAGTACCTCTTAAGGGATATGCCCAGCCGTCAAGAGACACATCACTGCCAGTTACTGGTCTAAGCAAGTGCAAGAGTTGTGGGACCAGGAGGCTTCCAGTTAAGATTTCAAAATAAGCACCGACAGGCAGGCAGCATGGCCCTGAGAGGGTAGTGTGTGAAGGAGAGAGGGTGAAGGTAGTGCAGTGTTAGAAAAATCAGGAAGGTGGAAGGTCTGAGGAAAGCCGTGAAGAGTATAGAGAGCCAGCCCAAGAGAAGCCAGAAGAGCTTCTTGTATAGTGCCTTAAGGGTGGGGCCACCCATACCCTTTAGAGCTCAACTGCAGCTTGTCCTGGGTGCTGGACACGGAGCTACAGGATTTAATGTTTGCTCTGCTGGATTTTAGTCTTGCTTTGGTCTCACTATTTGTACCTTGGGAATGGGAACGTTTATCCTTTTTTTTTTATTTTTATTTATTTGAGAGAGAGAGAGAGAGAGAGAGAGAGAGAGAGAGAGAGAGAGGTGTGTGTGTGTGTGGCCAGCTCAGCCCACCAGGGGGCGGGGCTGGCTGGCATGTGGTGCTGGGGGATTGAACCGCGGTCCCTGATGCTTTGCCAAGCTTGTTCTAAGTAGGTGCCTTAGACCACTGAGCCATCTCTCCAGCCCCGGGAACGTTTATCTTATGCCATTGTAACTTTCATTTGTGCAGGGGCTTGCAGCTAAGTTTGTTTCAAATCTCAGAGAAGAGTTTGGACTTGGACTTTTCAGCAATGGAGAAACTGTTAGGGCTTTTGACAATCTTGAGGTTGGACTAAATGCCTTTTGCATAAAGAATGTACGTGAGTTTTGGGGGCCAGTGGCAGAATGTTATGAATAATATATCCCCCAAAGCATCATGTGCTCAAAGTCAAGTCTTTTGGTAGGTAACTGGATTATGGGTTTAGAGCTCATCTATTGTCTTCAGAAGAGGTGGGTCACCAGGGCACACCCTGGGTCTGTCTTCCCCTGTACCCTCCCTGCTTGCTGTTTGCAGCGGCCATACCATGAGCTGTTTCTCCCCCGCAGTACTCCTTCATTGTGCCACCCTGCCTTGGAGCAGGCCGACTAAGGATTGCAACTTTTACAAACTGTGAGCCAAAATAAACCTCTCCTCCTCAGAGTTGTTGGTGTTGGATATTGTGTCTCAAAGGAAGTAACTAAGTAAGTTACAGGACAAGACCGGTTTTAGGGAGTGGAGGCGCCATTTCTTTCCTTCCCTTTCTGTCACTGAAGTACAGAAACATTTTTTTCTGTACCCTCTTACAAGTTTTATTAAGATATAATTCAACTATTTAAAAGATACACTTCAATTTAAAAGACTCTATTTCCACAGTTGTACAACCATCATCACAATCTAATTCTACAGCATTTTTATTGTCTCTTCATGGGAATGGCAGTATAGGTCTGTAAGAATGAAAGGTTGTTGGTCGTGTTATATCTTATAATATAATAATAATAATAATAATAATAATAATAAAACGATGGCTGGGCACAGTGGCCTACTCCTATAGTTCAGGCTCTCAAAAGGCCAAGGCTGAAGGGTCCCTGAAGTCCAGAAGTTTGGGGAAGCACAGGCAAGGAGCAAGACACCGTCTCTGAAAAAAGTAGAGGGATAAGGGGGATTTAGCTGAGTGGTCAAGTGCTTGCCTATGCTGTAGGAAGACTTGGATTCAATCCCCAGCACCACAAAAAGAAATAATTTTAATGCTATTGATGATAATGGAGGTTATGAGGCAAGGAAAGTAAGATGAAACAGGAATGGGTCCCTAGTTGAAGCTGGAGAATAGGTACTGCACATAAAACTGCTCTTCTGTATGCATTTAAAGTTTGCTATAATTAAAACTCAGGATGGAGAGATAGCTTGGTGGTCT